TAGGAATGAGCCACTCCTCAATCCACAGAAACATAAAGCTTGCCTCAACTCCACAGCTAAAAACTTAACAGCAGTGCCTCTAGGATGGTTCCTTCACCTTCCTGTCCTGCACCTCAAGGCACAACTTTTATATCTCTGTGAGTCTTCTATTGTTTTTATAAGCCATGAGAATACTCAGTAAAGGACAGCTTTGGGTTCGTCTTCCTCATGTCCTTCAGTATAAGCAAATGTCCCATCTCTGGAGACTTGCTATCAGTGTGTGCAGAAATTTGGACACCTAAGTTTAGAGCTGTTAGAGACTTTAGAAAAGTTCATATCCTTATGTCTAAGGAAATTAAATTGAGGAAAGAGAAAGTATTTGTTCAAGATGATGGAATGTGGGACCTAGATCTGGTGGAACATCTGTGTCTGCCTATGACTGTACTGATTAGGTTACTATTTTAATTTTTTAAAAACAATTTAACACTCCTTTAAGCCCTTGAAGGTGATAAGCCCTTTATCCTTGTCCAGCTTCCTATTCCTGTCAGCATATGCCTAATGTTTGTGGGCAAGGGCATTTAAGAGAAGATAAAGTTGAATAAATGATCTGAATGCTCAAGGATTTTGGGGGGCTCTTAGGAGAGATATTTGTTGGTGGTGCTGTTCTAAATGCTATGGTTGATTGAAGTCCATGGCTGAACTAAATTTGCCAAGGTTTCACCTTCAGTTAAGGGATAAGCCATATCTCTTTGGCCCTTTTGTGCTGGTTTTTAAATGTGTATGGAAACTTAAAGACATTCAGAAGTTTTTAATTTTCCATGTGGACTGTGAACATCTAAGGACAGCAATTAGAAAGGTCTGTGGTACAGAGAAAATTCTGTAGTTGTGTGTTTATAAAGTCTGAACTGAACATGAATGAGCAGGGAGAGGGGAGAGAATGGCCTTTATAGGCTTGGTCAGTCATGGAGGATTCCAGGACTTGTCACATGAACTGTTTTATTTTTATACCAATTGATGCGAGAAGAATCATCCCCTATCGTGAAGGAAACTGGAGCTGAGTGTGAGTATCCTTGGTAAGTGGCAGCGCCAAGAGCCATACAAAATGTTTTTGATTGAGAACAGAATTACCTGATACTGATGATTGCTTGCTTTACATTTGTGGGAACTTAGCAGGGTTGGGTGTGAGGGTTTTGCGCTTTTTTTTTTTTTTTTTGAGAAGTGGTGATTGTCCTGTGAGGCTTTGTCCACTTTCTCTGCACTAACCAGCAGCACATGTATTGACCACTAAGATGAAGATAAATTAGCCCCCCTTTCCCTTGCATCTTCAGCTCCATTGGTTTTCTATATGTCACTTAAGTGTGACCAGTGACCAAGAATTGAGACCCCAGCACAGGTAAAGCAAACACAAACTGCATGCAGAACAGCACAGAGGATTCAGGTTTCTCAATTCTGCATTACCAAATTTCCCTATACCTTGAGGGTTATTTATGAAACAATAATATAGAATCCATGCTTATTTTACTTTGACTGTTAACCTCTCCTGTCTACAGTTTTTAATTTAAGAAATTATAAGTTTTACCATCTAGTTTTTAGACACTTTGTCTCTTGAAGAAACATGCTATAATGTTTCAAACATTCTGTGGTCACGATCACTTCTGCTGCTTATTGAACTTTTGAAAAACACAAAGGTCTTTCGCCAGAACTGGTCATTGGATACTGCCCCTCAAGTGCACCCTTTATTATGTGCGGCAAACCACTCAGGAGTGGTTTTTGGAGTGGCCTGAAGAATTCCTGGGACTGCCTTATTATTCTGGGAGGAGGCAATCCAGGGCCCTTTAGAGTTGATCACTGAAACAGTGATAGAGCATGATAAAATAAAATACAATATTTAAATGTTTGTGATGTTTAAAATAGAAAAGGGTTTTCCCATAACCTATGCTAATATGAGCTGTAATGCTGGATGTCCTAAACAATGTCAAGATTCAAGGAAAGAGAAATGCAGGTCTGCCATCAGCAACCACAATTCTTCTATTCTTGGTGGAGTGCCCCCCTTTCCAGCCACTCTTAGTTCTAGAACCTTCATTAGCTTAAACCCATTAGGATATAGATTCCGTTTGTATTGGTGGTTGGCTCAGAGATAAGCTGTTAACTCCTATCAGGACTAATAAGACATGGGGATGTTTGCTGAGCTGTCTGAAATAGGAGAAAAAAACCAAAACAACAAAAAATCTAAACCAACCAACCAATCAAATAAATAAACAGAAAAGCCCGAGAAGGTTTCAGAAGACTCTTTACCTAGCCAGTGGAGTAGGATGGAAAAGGATATAGCTCTAGGGACATTTGCAGCCTTGAGATCACAAAGGGAACGCCTGCACAAGGAAAGGAGTGTGGCTCGCTGTGTAAAAGCAGGATGAGGGAAGGTCAGCAATAATGCATCCTGGGATCAAGCTGTTCCTTGAGCTGTTTAAGAGTATTTGTCAATTTTCCTTTATCATTTGTTCTAATGTTTATTTCTTTTAAAACAATTTTCTTCATGTATAAGCAAATGGTCCGTACTAGAGGTCGTTGCTTGGGTTCCCAGACAGATATGAAGCTACATCTTTATTTTGCCCCTCAGATCTAGGTACATGCATAATATATCAAGGTATAAATCCATTATTATGATAGGCTGTTTCTTACCAAGAAGTATGCTTAAAAACAAGGTTTAGATAGGCGCAACAGGACCAATAGCGTAACACAGTTATCATCAAGAATCAGTGTAATCTTAGGCTGCATTCACAGTCTGAGCACTTGGGTAGTCTGGAGTCAGCAGGTCGGCAGGGCTTGGGGTTCTGCATTTATATAAAACTCAAGTGAGGCTTATGATGCTGTGTTTTGAATTGTAATTGATTTGCCAGAGATTAGCCTGTGCCTACAGGTTTTCCCCCTTATAAATACTTCTTCTTTAAGAGGAGAACAGCACATTCCAAGTAAGGTCAGGGGATTTGACAGCATATGAAATGGTTAAAAGAAGACTGTGCTTAGTTATTATGGAAGGAGAAGGCCAGAGAGGGCCAAGATAGTGGTCTTCAGATAGATTATAACACTCTACGAGTAGAGTGTTATACTTCCAGAAGTAGGAAAAGTGGGACAAAGTGGAGAAGAGTGAGTCTGGCCCAGGAAAGAACCTTCAAATGTTTGCTTCCCAGAGATGGGAGTTTTACTTTATGTGTTGTTGCACTCTATTGCAGGGTTGTGACAAATGAATGAGAAATACTAAAGAGTATAAGACAACGAGGAGTGGTAGTGATGAGTCATTAATGGGCCTTCTAATCCAGTTTAAAAAGTTACTTTGGCCAACTAAAAGCTACGTGTGAATAAGGCCTTTCCTGGCACACATGGATCCTTCATACAAGGCAGATAATACACATTCCTTTTTCAGGCCTCTTTACTTTCGTCTCTTGGGGAACCTTTTTACTGCTTTATTGGAACAAGACATTTTTTCTGTCCTGGAGGGCCAGTGAAGTATCTGCAACACTGATGCTGTGCATGGTGGCCTGATGGGTAGCTTGGACCAAACCTCTGCAGATCAGGTTGCAGCCTTCTGCCTGTAAGCTTCAGACTTTGACTATAATGCTCATGACATTAGAGAAAATTACTTGTTAAACTTTGTCAGAAGGCAAAATGTTCAGGCTGGGGTTAGGGACATAGGGCACACAGACAAGTGTCTGCCTCAAGGAACTCCTGAGCTAAAGGAGGAATCGTGGACTAGAATGGCCTGTCATCCTGGGTTTCCTGAGACTACATTCACAGGAAATGTGGCACATGGACCATGTATAGCAAGAGAATTCACCTGAATGGGGGAAAGAGTGAGGAGGGGGAAAGAAGTGATGGCCGCCTGAGAATGACAGCCCCTTCCCATACCCTTTCCCATGGCTGTATACTGACAGTCTTGTGCACTGAGCTTAGACCCTCACATTTATGTTCTTTCTAGTCCTACAATGGACCAGCTTTCTGGGCTAGTGAGTTAGAAATGAGAAAAGGCAGACTGCCTCTCCGATACCAGGTTGTTTTCATTACTCCCACACTGCACATGGAAGTAGAACCATCTGTACACAGTCTGGGAGGAACATGTCACCAGACTGCTCATATACCAGCACATTTAACCACTCTTAGCTTTACCTCTGGACTGCCCCTTTTAATCAACCATTTTCTTATACTAGCCCTGCCTTTTGTTCTCATTTCTATGCCCAAATTTGTCTTCCAGATTGGTCAGTGGCACAGTAATGGATTGGCTTGCTTCTCTGTGCTGTGTTAGAGGCAGGTATGGTGGTAGAAGTTGCCAAAAAGTTGAGCAAATGGAAGTGTTTCCTCACTTCTTTCACAACCAGTTGGTGGAACCAATTTAGATTTGGCATTGCCTTTCTAGGCCAACCCTCAGACAGCTGAAGAGGTAGGAAGGCATAATGGAGGGAATGAAAATGTACCAAATAAGTATAATACACCAGGTGCCAAACTAGGTACACACAGTTTTTATAATGGCCAACCTCCACCGTTCACTCCTGCCATGCACTTCTTCTGGGCGCTCTGATGTAGTCCTAGCCTTAGGCTGCAGTGAGCTTCGAGATTCTCAAGTTTTATAGACCAGGAAGTTGTGAAATAGAGGAGAGAAATGTCTCATCCAAGGTCACTCCACCAGCAGGAGGCAAGAGTGGGATTTGAACTTGCCTCTCCTGACACAAGCATCTGCCCTAACAGTACTCATGCTTATTCAGGTTCCATATTTAGCATCTACATTTCCAGGGAAAGGAAGCTAGAATGAGATTTCTTTTAAGTTTTTTTTTTTTTTTTTTTTTTTTGGTTTTTTTTCGAGACAGGGTTTCTCTGTGTAGCTTTGCGCCTTTCCTGGAACTCACTTGGTAGCCCAGGCTGGCCTCGAACTCACAAAGATCCGCCTGCCTCTGCCTCCCGAGTGCTGGGATTAAAGGCGTGCGCCACCACCGCCCGGCTTCTTTTAAGTTTTTGGAGCCAAAATTATTTTAATTTTATGGCTGGGAAAAATGTAAACTTACATTTTCAGCAGACCAGAGATGATAAAGTATGTGTTTGTCAAATAAAATTCTTTACTGTGATAAAGTAAATCATTCTTTGGCCTTGTGAAAAATTAGGCCTCACTTGAACTGTTTTCACTTGGGCCTTTGCTAATATTTCTGTTATCTCCATTAGGGATTACCATGACAAATGCCTTTTATTCGCTTCGTTAAGCACTTGGGTGAATGTGTGAACACACAGAGCTTCATAAGTCACAAGGAAATGAAACAATGTGGTCTTCTGGAAATAGTTTGAGAGCCTGACAGACTAGGACTAGCATCTGGCTCTTCCACTTAGGAACTACATCACTCTTGGTAAGATTTTTCAGCTTCTCTAGACTTCAGTTTCCTAATATGTAAGATGTGGGCATCACTATCTCTAGGTGATTTTAAGAATGAGATGAGAAGGCATTCTGTAGCACTCTACAAAGTTCCCAGTGTGGGGTAAGTGTTCACTATATGTTTTGGTAAGTTGTATATAGCTCTCAGGGTGCCTAATAGTTGCTTACTGACCATGCTCTTCGACTCATGGTAGGTAGAAACATTGAAGAGAAGATATAAGAAGGAGCCAGGACATGCTCATCTACTTTAGCCCCCTTAGCACTCACTACACAAGCCTGTCTGGAACACTTCATGTTTCAACATAGTTGAGATCATGGAGGTGAGAGCAGCTGACACAGATGAAGACACAGCACATGTAGTTAATTTTACTGGGGGACAGATTTTTCAAGTTCAAATATAAAAATGTGATTGGCCTGTCATGGGGTGGTTATGATACTTTCTCTTAGTGGTGAAATTCCTCAGTGCTTGGAGCTATTTGGAAATGGGCCCAGGCGGGTCTGGGTAGGGTTTTTTTTTTTTTGTTTGTTTTTGTTTTTTTTTTTTTTATTTCTACTTAGGACAGAGTGAATTGTGAGTTCTGTATGGATTGCAGGGTGGACAGAGTACCCAAATCCCATTCTTAACTGCTTAATGGAAGTTCTGGGCATGGCCAGCCTCCTCCCCATCAACCTGATGGCCTCTTTATCTGCCTACTGTCCAGGAAAAGAGTCAAGTGTAAACTAACCATTCATGTAAATGGGCTGTCAGGTTACTGAACCAATATGTTATGGTTAATCTGTTAAAACAGCAAGGTCTCTGAATTTGTAAACACTCCTTGATAAGCTCCTTATAGCATATACAACCTAAGAAAATGAATGGCACCTACCACCTGTCCTGGAATCCCTACCCACCACCCCCACTGCTTGTCCAGATGACCTTTCCATTGAGTTCAGTCCACCCTCTACCCCTCCCAACTCATGTGGCACCACCTGACCTCAGCTATGTGCTGCCTCTCGGGTGGGGGTGGGGTCAGAGATTCCACAGAAGTGCAAAAGTTTTAAAAGGCTTAGAGAACAGGGGTGGGGTGTGAAGGGGTGTGTGTAGATATACCAGGAAACTGTTGGGAGCTTTGTAAGAAGCCAGTTCATCTGTCCTCACCAGTATCACAGATGTCATCTCCATTGTCCTATCTTTCCCTCAGTCAAAACTTTGTGTTAGTACCTTAACATAGAGATGTCTTATTTCCATGGGCAAAAGGCTCTCAGGTCAGCAGCTGACCGAATTATGAGGTTGGAGGGATGGTCCCATCATATGTTAATTTGATGGATGGGAGAAAGATTTCTGGGAGGGGAAAAGGCTATCAGAATCAGATTCTTGGCAAAGTTAACATAGAAGAATCATTGCCTATGGAAAACATGGTGACTATGAAGTTCGTCCTTTTTTACCTTTAATTTTTAGACTCTTTTGAAGCCAAATCCAGTAAAACAAATAAAAATATTTGAGGCCAGCCTGGTCTACTGAGCAAGTTCTAGGATGGCCAGGGGTACACAGAAAAACCCTTTATCCAAAAACCACACAGACACACACACATATGTGTGTGTGTGTGTGTGTGTGTGTGTGTGTATAATGTTGGAAACAACCACAAAAATCTCTCTACCTTGACATGAGGATGGGTTTTCTAATACTTTTGTTTTAAAACTTACTTGAAGCTTTCTTTAAAAATAATTGTTTGTCACCTTTCAAATTTTTCATTTAGTGTTACTTTATCGTGTCTTCTTTTTTGTGTGTGATGGTTTCCTTTGGTAAACATGTCATAATTACATACCCTTTCTGATACTTTCCCACACAGTTGGTTTTCCTAGTTCTGTGTTAAGTGGTTCAGTGTCTGCCCTCAACATTGACAAGTCAGTCTTCATGCCTGCTGTGCTAACAGTCTCAGCTGCTGCTTATCACTCACCTGTCTCAGGCCATTTTCTCTGCTGTGGTTTCTGTCTTCTGCTCATGCACCTCCTATGGGATCTTAGAGGAGACAGTCCCATCTCCCTTGCGGTTTCAATCTTATTATATGCATTGCATTCTCTGAAGCTCTTCACTTTGAGTGCTCCTAACGTCTCTCTGTACTGACTCTCATGTGTCACTTCCATGTTAGATCACAAGGAGTTCTGAGTTTCATTTCCTCCAACTCCCTAAAGCAGCTCTTGCAAGAGTCACACAGGACCCTTGATGCCTTTCTCAGGGTGTGTGTCAGGACTTGGTATCTCCATACTATAGTGGACCCATGTCCTTGGTCTCTTGTCATTTATCTACAATATTTGTTTCTTCAACTCCTATCTCCTTGCACCTGTCTCTCTCACCCACTCCTTCCATGTTGGTTCTCAAAAGGTTGCTCTTGTTGCTTGAACTGACTGGTTTTGTGTGTCAACTTGACACAAGCTAGAGTCGTCAGAGAAGGAAGGAGCCTCAGTTGAGGAAATACCTCCATGAGATCCAACTGTAAGCCGTTTTCTCAATTAGTGGTCACTGGGGGAGGACCTAGCTCATGGTGGGTGGTGCCATCCCTGAACTAGTGGTCCTTGGTTCTATAAGAAAGCTGAGTAAGCCAGGGGAAGCCCCCCTCCATGGCCTCTGCATCAGCTCCTGCCTCCAGATTTTAGCCCTGCCTGAGTTCCTGTCCTGACTTCCTCCAATAATGGACTATGATCTAAAAGTGTAAACCAAATAAATCCTTTCCTCCCCAACTTGCAGTTGGTCATGGTGTTTTGCTGCAGCAATGGAAACCCTAACTAAGACACTGCTTCTTTTCTCACTCAAGATAGTCACTATTTCTTCAGTTTTGCATTCTGGTTTTAGCCACTCTCACTGTATCTATTAGCCAAGGTTTTTTAGATAGTAAAGTATGGATAGAGGGATAAAGAGACAGAGACTTATGGGAACTGGGATCATGTAATAATGGAGGCAGAAGAGTCCCACATTATTTTGCCTTAAAGCTGAAGAGTCAAGCAAGTGAGTAGTGAAATTCAGTGCAGGGCTAAAGGCCTGAATAATTGAAGCCATACAGCTCCAAGAACCAAAAACCAGGAGCGAGCTCTAATGTTTGTAGGCAGAAAGCGATGGATGTCCTAGCTTAAGAAGAAGGAGAATCTGCCCTTCTTCAACCCATAGATTATGCCCACCCACATTGATGAGGAGTGTAGTGGTTCAAACTTCAAATCTCTTCTGGAAACATCCTTACAGAAGCATTCAGAAGTGAGCTTTTGCCAACATTCTGGGCATGTCTTAGCCTACTCATGTTGATATACAGTGTTATCCCATCACACACAAAACACTGCTAACCCTCCAGTGTATTACAAGTGTATTTCTGTCATCTACCCTCTGCTGAGATTTAGTAGACTCCCATGCTTCTATTCCACAAACATTAAAAGCTCTTTGCAAGTTTGCTGGAGTGTCTTGCTGGTGAGTCCCAGGGATCACCCTGTCTCTTTTTCCCAAGCACTGTGATTACAAGTGTGCACAACACACCCCACTTTTTAAAGAAATAGTGTTTTGGAAACAAACTCAGGTCCTTGGGCTTGCAAGGCAAGTGCTTTAACAATGAACAATCTCCCCATCCTCTGTCCATAGTACTTCCAGCTGTGGTATTGGTGTCTCCCCATTCTTTATCCTCCTCTTCTGCATATGCTTTTCCAAAAAGCTCTTCATTGATCTCCAGGTGCTAGGATGGCTTATAACCACAAATGTGCCTATATTATCCCATAAATAAAACTTAGGATGGTTCCCACTGCATGTGGCATTGAGTATGGTGTTCAACCACCCTCTGCCTCTTGCCCTTGCTTACTTTGGTATTATCCTGCTTCTCTGGGACTTACAATTTAAGTTTCATAACTGGACCACTTGAAGTGTAACCTTCCATCCTTCCCCTGTCTGGAATACCTCACCTTATTTT